CACACAAGCATGGGAACCTGAATTTAAATCCCAGCACTCATAAAAATCCAGGTATAGCTGTACACACTTATAATCCTGGTACTTGGATTTTAGAGACAGAGGATCCCTGGAGCTCACTGAGCAGCTGGTCCTGCTGAATTCCAAGTTTAGTAACAGACCCTTTCTCAAAAAATAAGGTGGAAAACAATAGAGAAAACAGCCAGTTTCAATCTCTGGCTTCCACATGCATGCACACATGCATACACACACAAACATGTATACATGATGCATGTACCACACACATGTACACATGCATGCAACACATACATGTCAGTATATATAAAACTTGTTGTCAGGTCTTAAATTTGGAAAACTTTTTATCATATTTTTCTTTAAATAATTTTCTGCCCATTCTACATTTTCCTTTAGAAATGCCACATACACAGATATTTGGAAAGAGGGAAAACATTTATGTGACATGAAACGACATATATATCCATATATTTGGGACATTTATAGTTATACCACAGCTCACTAATGATTTCTTCAAACAAACAAAAACAGACAGATTCCTTGCTTTTGTTTCAACTTGCATGATTTCTATTGTTATATCTTAAGTTCACTCATCTTTTCCTGTATAGTATCTAGCCTGCTGTTAACCCCAACCAGTGTATTTTTCATGACATTGTAGTTTTCATATCTGAAAGCTCAAACTAAATGTTGGGAGTTTTGGGTGTGCATGTTTACTGCGTGTGTGTCTGTTATATATGTGTGTGCAGTATATGTGCATATATGCGTGCAGGCACACTTGCCTTGTGTGTGTGTGTACATGTGTGCATGCTGGCATGTGCACATGCACACAGAGGCCAGAAGACAGCAGGTATCTTCCTCAACCACTCTTCACCTTATTTTTGGGACAGGGTGTCTCACTAAATTAGCTTGCCATTTCAGCTAAACTGTCTGGCCAATGACCCCAAGAAAATGCCTGTCCCTGTCCCCTCACTCCAGCACTGGGGTTACAGATATATACCACAGTATCTGGCTTTTATGTGGGTGATGGGGATCTGAACTTAAGTCCTCATGCCAGCTCCCCAGCCCTCCACCTAAATACTTTCTTAAATATCTTCCATGTCTCCAGCTGTTTGAAAATTTATGGAATACAAGTATAATATTTCTTAAAATTTGTATTACATTGTATTTATTTATTGTGTTCGGGGTGGGGGGTCAGTGTGCCAAGGGGCACGGTTGAAGGTCAGAGGAAAATTTTCAGGAGTTGGTTCTCTTCTTCCACCATGTGGGCTCTGGGGACCGAATTTAGGTGATCAAGCTTGGCAGCAAGTGCCTTTATCTGTGGAGTTATCTCCCTGGTTCCCAATTATAATAATTTTAATGTCTTTGCCTGCTAATTCTATGATCTGTCTCAGTTCTAACTTGGTTGTGTCCTGTGATTCTTGGTTATTGTCCTCAAATTCTACTTCATTGCCTGCCTGATCATCTTGGATTAGATTTCAGACGTGATGAATTTTCCTTTTTTGGGTGCTGAGTATTTTTGCATTTTGCATTTCTACAGACTTTTCATTTAGTTCTTGGATGCAACTGAGCAACTTGGAAACAGTTTATTGAGTGGCAGAACCATCAATGGTCAGTCTAGGGATGATTATTTCCCACTACTGATGCAAGACCCTGTGAGTACTCTTCCCACTGCTTGTGGCTGAGGAGTTTTCCATTCATGCTAGTGGAACAGGCATTGTTCTATCCCTGCCTGAGCTCCAGGCATGCTTGCTCCATTTTTTCATGTGTTTCTTTCCCTGGTGCCAAGTTGCTCCCTTACAAACCCATACTGGAGACCTGTGACAGGTCTGCAGGCTCTTGGTGCCCTCTTTCCTCACTGGACCCTGTTCCATAGGCTCTAGCCACCTTGGTCTCCCCAGACTTTCAGTTCTATCTGTGGAACTCAGAACATCTGCCATGCTTTGAACTCTGTCATTCAGTGTCATGGCTAGGAAACTCTCTCAAGGTGGCAAGGTGGGAGCACTTAGACATTCACCTTGTTTGTTTTCGATTACTAGAATGACTGTGACAAGAACAAAGATTCAGTGTCTTGAAGACTGTTGTTCTATATGTTTTGTAGTTTTTGTTGTTTCAAAGGGAGGGTAAACCCAATTTTAGCCAGAAGAGGAGGTAACAGACCCAATTTCAACAAACATTGTTTAATATCAAGAGGAATATTTACAAAGGTTGATACGGGTATTGCCTGCCCAGATTTTTCCCTTCAAAGACTGGCCAGCTGTCCTGCTGTGGTCTATCAGTCTCCAGCTACCAAATCCTGTAGGTTTCCTCAGCTGTGCCTTCCTCAGAGCCACCTATATCCAGAAACTGGCCATTCTAGCTCCACAAGGGGTACTCTGGTGGACAGGGCTAGCTGACCTAGATATCTTACAGCCCAGACTCTTAGCTTCTGCTTCATAACCTATACTGCCGATCCAGAGATGGCCAACATGGTCTAGACATCAGCCCCAGGACCTTTGCCCAGGCTGTTCTACTAATGTCACTTGTCCACAAGAACCAAAATCTCACCACTAGAACTTATTCCTAAGTGACCATCTAGTTTCCAATGTGTGCATATGCACACATGTATACGTGACTTGGAAACTTTTGGTCTCTTGACAAAATGTATCCAAAAACTAATCTTTAAGATACATTCTGCAGGGGATCAGAGAGATGGCTCAGAATTTAAGAGTACTTACTGCTCTTACAGTAGACCTGAGTTCAGTTCCCAGCCAACCACCTGTAACTCCAGCTCAAGGGGATCCTGCACCTCTGGGCTCCTCAGGTACCTGCACTCATGTGCACATGCCCACATGCAGGTCATACACATATAACTAAAAATAAATCTTTAAATATATGTGTATGTTGTAAGGAAAACAATGAGGAAAATGGGCTACAGATGCTGGGACGTGCCTTCTTTGTTCTATAAGATGGCAAACAATGTATCATTAATTTTCCACATCCCCATATTTCCCCTGTGTGCATTGTCATCATGATCTTCTGCCTCACCTCAGGCCCCAAAGCAACAGGACCAAGTGGCCATGTGCAGAATCTCTGAAGCTGTCTGCCAAAATAAGTCTTCCCTTTTTACAAGTTTTTTTCTTAGTTATTTGGTGATATGTACTTCCTCTGGAGATGCAGAGCTAATACAGGTATGTACTCTAAGATGTCAGACAGATGTCTCTCACGATGCCTCCCTTATCTTCTGGCTAGCACTTCAACATCTCCTTTCCCAGGCCCCCATTCATGGGCCTCAGTGTCTACTGCTGTCTTCCCCAAGTATGTTCTCCAATCACCTCTGCCTCACTCTCCAAACTCTGAACCGCCATTGCCATCTCTGATGCTCTCCTGTCTGGTGGCTTACAGCAAACCCACACTGTGTAACTTCTTCCTGTGCAAAGCTTGGGCTTCCCTGGCCCTGTTCTCTGTTGTCTTACCTCAGTGACAAGGCACCTAAGCAGCACTACTGCCCCATCAGATGTGTGAAGGTCAGCATAGTTATCCCTTGGCAGTTAGAGCATTCTCTTTCACATCAGGCCATACTTCACACTCTCTTGCAGCCCTACAGATGGATCCCCCAAGGCCTTCTAAGCCTCCAGGAGAAACTTTCCTCACCTGTTCCTGGACTTACCTTTAGAGATGTGGGTCTGGCCTAAAGGACTTCCTTTGGGTGGCCAGAATCTCCAGTTCTATTGTGGGATGAGGTTTGAAGAGCACAGACCAGAAAGAACTCTGCTACCATCTGTAGCAGAGTGGACCAGTCTCTCTCTCTTTCCTATACACCAGGTAGCAGAAGTGCCATTGCTGTTGGCACAACTCTGGCAAACAAGGATCATCTCTAGGCTCTGTCTGCAGATGCTGCAGGAGCAAGAGAGTAGCAGAACCAGGGTGTGAGCAGCTCCCTGGTAGGGCAGGCCAGCTCTGCCCAGCACCTCCATGGTCCTCAGCCACATGCAGGAATACCTGTCCCTGTGACTTTGAGAGCAGTCACAGAATTCCACTCTGAGAGGCAGGTCACAATAGAGTCATGGTCAGGCATGGCTTTCCTCAGGTGAGAAGAAGCCAAGAAAGTGCTTCAGATATCCTGGGGAGCACCAAAACTTGTCAGGAAGCCAGCAGCCAAATCCAGTTCACCACATCTTAGCTGTGCAACTCAATAGCTGAGGATGGTTCTCACATTTTTAAGAAACTGTGAAAACAAAACTATAGAACTGGAACTATCTGTGGCCATAAAGTCCGACATATTTATTTGCTGGTTGTCTCTCTCTCTCTCTCTCTCTCTCTCTCTCTCTCTGGATTTCAAACTTACCTATTAGTTTCCCACGATTATATATCACAATTTGAAAACTTTCAAACTCTCTCTGCCCCTGCTTCTCTGCCTCTCTCTCTCTCTGTGTATGTGTGCATACATGTGTGAGTGTGTTGGGTGTGTGTACCATGTGTGTATATGGAGGCCAGAAGACAATCTTGGCTGTTATTCATTCCTCAGTTTCCCTTCATCTTTCATTGGCCTGAGCTTCATCAAGTAGGTTAAGATGGCTGACCAGCGAGCCTATCTCCTCCTCCCCAGTGCTGGGAGTACATACTTACATGCCAAGCACTTTACTGGCTGAGCCATCTCTGCAGTCCTTACTTGCTTGCTCTTTACTGAAAGGTTGTGGTCCCTTATAAGATAGAAGATAATACAACTGGAAATAAGCCCCTCCTGTGCACAATTGTTTCCATGTCAGCAGTATGCAGAAAAAGGGAGACTCATGGAGAGAGGGTAGGAGCCTTGGCTCCAGGCTCCAGTCACCATCTGTTGACTGGATATGACCAACCTGGGCCAGGAGCCTCCAGCTGCTCTCCTTCTGTTTCCTCACCCATGGTCTCCATTAAATGAGGTCATCTTGGAACCTTTCACTATAACTGTGCATGTCTCTGGCTTGTTATTTTACCTTTCCTAACATCTACTGCATATGCCTTATATCCAGGAAAGTCTTAGAACTATAGCAGCTGTCTTGTGATTAAAAAGTCAAGTTCTCAAGATTTGCAGAGAATACAACCCAGACCTTTCACATGGACTTCAATGAGCTGCATCAAAACCCTGGAACCTCCTCTCTTACAGGTAACTTCCTGTAAGTACAGAGCCACATCGTTCAGGCTTAAACCATTATCGTTTGGTAGTTCTGTTGCTCACTCTTGACTGTTTCAAAGGCTCTGAGGAGCACTTGGCAGAAGACTTGGCATTTGAGCAGAACTTGAAGGATGGGTCATGTTTGGACATGCAAATGTAAAGGAGGGGTTGGGGAGAGGCATATTCCAGAAGAGCCGTCACTCTCATGGAGCAGAGCAGCAAGGCACACGTAACCTCTGAAGCCTTTGCAACAGGATGAAAATTAACATCTATAATCCTTTGTCCTCAGCCTGCTATGAAGCAGCCTAGGGCCTTGGATTTCAGTTCTGAGGGTTTTGCAGGCCCTTGTGGGAGATCTGGCGACACATTGATATTTAGGGATGGATCTGGATTTTTTTAGCCCAGTTTAGCACAAGGCTTTTCAAATTATCCATAGTAAAACGATAGTGTGTGTGTGTGTGTGTTATGCATGCACTTATACACGTGTGTACATGCATGTGTATACATGTGTATAGAGGCTGAAAATCGATGTTGAGTATCATCTATTGCTCCTCACCATATTTTTTGAGGCAGACATTCAGCCTGGAGCACACTTGTTGACTGGACTGGCTGGCCAGCAGGCCCCAGGATCCTCTTGTCTCTACATTACACTGCTAGACTCATAGGCAGTGCTCTTGTGTCCAGCTTTTTACATGGATGTTGGCAATCCTAACTCAAAATCTCATGCTTGTGCAGAGAACTTTACCCACTGAGCCATCTTTCTGGCCCTTGTTTGTGTGACTTTTGAGATGAGGTCTTGCTACGTCACCCAGGATGTTCTCAAGCTTTCCATCCTCCTGCTTCATCATCTCAAGTTCTGGAATTATAGATGTGCACTACCACATTTGGTTTCAGAACAATGCTTTTATAAAATGAATTAAAAATAAATTGGGGGGAATGTGCCCAACATACTTGTATACTTGTGGAAAAAGTATGCAATATCATGTACAATGAATATATACAATGAAAGAAAAAAATAAAATATTGCAAAAATTTAAAAAAAAAACAATAAAAAAGAACAACTATGGGCTGGAGAATGGCTCAGCGGTTAAGAACACTGGTTTTTCTTACAGAAGATATGGGTTCGAATCCCAGCACCCACATGGCAGCTAACAACTGTCCATAACTCCAGTCCCAGGGGATCCGATAGCTTCTTCTGACCTCCGTGGGCATTGCACAATACCGGTGCACTTAACTACATGCAGGCAATATACACATACACATAAAATAAAAATAAATAAAAATTTTAAAAAAAGAACTAGAATACAAACTCACCTTTGAAATTATTCCATCAGACATTGTCAGGTTGGTGTAGTTTCCAACTCCTTATTCTCACTTTATACGTTCCATTTTCCAAGCAGAGAACACCCATGGAACTACACTGGCCTGACCTGGCTTATCTCTACTCCCTCTGTCAGGCCACCATCCTTGGGTGGCAAAGGAGTCACCTGGGTTCTGCTTCTGCTCAAATGATTACCTGTTGTTTGTTTGTTCTAAGGAGAAGTTTGGATTATGTTTTGTTTTGTTCTGTGACAAGGTTCTTCTATGTGACCAAGGCTGGTCTTGAACTCACAGTCTTCTGGCCTCAGCCTCCTGAGTGCTGGGAAGAGGCTTGTACCACCATCCTAGCTAGACTGTACAGTTTAACAGTTTCCAGCAAGCAAATGGAGAAATGTGATGTTGAGATACCTTGTTGAAGTATTATTGGATGCTGAGTGTTGCATTCAACATTCCATCTGCATTGTCCCACTTATCACAGGGTCACCATGTGAAGCTGGCGCTGATCTTCCTTTCTTTTTTGAAAATTTACCAAGTCTGATGCCAGTGCAAAGGGCCAGGACAGTGGCTCTGACTGATGGGGATAAACAGGGCTGTCTGTACTCCGTTTTGATACCTGTCAGGAAAATCCTTCTAGAAAGACCCTGGGATATGAAGTGGGGAAGTGATATGCTGAGAATTCATCCTTTAGACAGGCTGTAGAGAGAGAAGAGAGAAGTGGAAAGAGGGCTTGGCATGTAGCATTGACAGAATGTTTGTCTAACACACAGGAAGCCTTGGTGCCAAGTTAGCTTCAGTTGTCAACCTGACACATCTGGGAAGAGGGATTCTCAACTGAGGAACTGTTAGGGTCCGTGACTCGGTGGGTCTCTTCAGGAGAACAAATGCACGAGTATGGAGATGCAAAAATCAAGCAGAGTTTTATTAAACCAGCTAGCTGGGGCCGACCGTCCTTCCAAGACACGCAGGTCTGCTTAGAGCGATCGACCCCGAGGCAATTTCAGGTAAAGATTATATAGGCTCCCACAACCGTTACACAAAAGCCCGCATTTATACAACCAATAGTTTCAAAGCAAGCATTTCACAAACCAAAAACTTCAAAACAAGAAAAATGTCACAACTTCCTTCAGGTGTCTCAATCAGGGAAGGGTGAGTGGTATGTACCTGGCGCAACCCTTTCCTGTTATCTTGGGTAAGTGGACATGCCTACATGACACAACACAGATCAAACAGGCTAGGCTCTGGGGGGTGCAGCACTTGCCCCTATCTGGGGATGCCTGTGTCTCCACTTGGGTTAATCAGTTACAAGCAGTAAATTCAAAAAAGTAAATTCAAGCAGTAAATTCAGACAAGCAATAAATTCCTCTTTCCAAACAAGAAAAATGTTACAGCTCCCTTCAGGTATCTCAATTGGGGAGAGATGATTGGTATGTGCCTGGTACGACTCTTTCTTGTTATCTTGTGTAAGCAGACATGACATGACACAGAACAGGTCAGGCTCCGGGGGTTGTAGCACTTTGCCTCTATCTCCAGATGCCTGTGTCTCCAGTTGAGTTAATTGGTTACAAGCAGTAAATTCCTCTTTCCCTAACAGGAACTTCCTCCATCAGACTGTCCCATGGGCATGTCTGTGGGGGCATTTTCTTGATTGCTAATTGATGAGAAGGGTCGAGCCCACTGAGGGTGGTATCATCCCTAGGCAGGTGTGCCTGGGCTATATAGGCAGGGGTGAGCCTGAAAGCATGCCAATAAGCAGCATTCCTCTGTGGTCTCTGCTTTAGTTCCTGCCTTGGCTTCCCTGAATGGTGGACTGTAAACCCATTCCTTCCGCAAGTTGCTTTTGATCATGATGTTTATTGCAGCAACAGAAAGCAAACTAAAATACTTGGGTTTGATCTTGAGCCCCACATAAACTGGGCATAGTAGCACACCTCTATAATCCCAATACTTTGAAGGTGGAGACAGGAAGATCAGAAGCTCAAGGTCATTCTTGGCTATATAGTGAATTGGATGCCAGCTTGAGATACATGAAACCTTATTTCAAATGGGGGGGGGGTACCCTGAAGTTGTCATGAGCCTTAGGACCATCTGCCCTAATTTGTCAACAAATTAGATGGTCTGCCTTTGTTACAAAGAGAAAGACAAAGTGACTGTCTTAGGGTCAAGAGAGACTCCCACTTCAAAGATGGGTCTTTGAGTCTTGAACTGTGTTTACCAGGATGTCTGTGATTGCAGAGGTCAGGCCCTGTCCATTATAGAATAGGGGGAGCTTGAGGCCAGGGTTTGCTCTTGCCTCTTATCAGGCAAAGTGGAGCCCCTGTCTTTGCAGAAGCTGCCTCCAGGAATGATTCCAGCCATGATGGTCTCTGCCTGAGCCCAGGTGAACAACAGTGGCAGGAAAATGCTGGGTTGACTTAAACACTAAGAAGAAATGTGGTATTTCTTATTCACTTCTGTGATTAAAAGAACAAAGCAAGGTGGGGTGTGGTGATACACACCTTTAATCCCACCACTCTGGAGGCAGAGGCAGGTGGATCTTTTGAATTGGAGGCCAGCCAGGGCTACTCAGAGAGACTCTATCTCAAAAACAAAAGCAACCCTTGAGAGGTGTGGCTCTTAGGAATTTGTCACCAGAATGACTTCCTGGCCTTTTTATTCTGAACCTAGTCTTTCTATCTGGGACACAGACTTACCTGATCTTATCAGAATGTAGGAGCTGAAGGGCTCACTTTTGTGCTTCTTTGTCCAAAAGGCGGGTCCTTCTGCCAGGTGAGCACAGATACCCCTCTGTGGTCTTCCCTATCTTCACAAAGGAGAAGTGGCCACATGGGACTTGGCTTTGCATCTCCCATGGTAAGGACCTATCCTGCCCAGGGCTGCTGTCTGTTCCCAGGTTTACTCCTTCACTGCTCAAGGGAAGAAAGCATTGCTGTGTCTCTAACCTGGGGGTCTGGGGGAACTCCAAAATGCTCCCAGTGAAACCTGAATGAAGGGCACCAGAGAAATGGAACTCAGGTGAAGGTGCTACATTCGAATCTCTTATCTGTGACTCTTGACTAAGGCCCTTCTAAAGCAGCAATTCTCATTAGTCCACAGGTTTATTTTGCAATGGATTTTCCCCATGACTCAGTCTCTGGCTAGCAGCCAGAGGCTTTGGGTCAGAATTCCTGCAGAGGAGGCCTCAGCGTCTTAGCCTGACCGCTCTCCCTGCCCTGCAGAAGGCAGCCTGCCTGCACCCTTTCCCAAGCGCGTTCAGGAAACTGGCATTCTTATGCCCTCGTATTAGTTCATCAGTGCTGATGTCGACATTTTAAATTGGTGACACCCCCCCCCAATTATGTGGCTATCACAACTATATCTCCTCTGTATATTTTAAATATAGAAAGCAGGAAGCCAAACATCTGGTAAGAGAAGTTGTGTTCTGAATGTGCCGTGGCCAAAAAAAACCAAAAAGGAAAAAAAAAAGCATTAGTCAGAGTCCAGAAAAACAGTGGTTTGCTTTTACCAAGTAATATTTAGAGACAGAACTGAGGAGGGAATGGAAGGCAGCTGTTACAACACAGATTGGTTTTTTCAAGTTTAATCCTTCAGAAATTATCAAGAAAAAAAATTTAAGTAAGAAATTAATTTGAATTAATTTAAAGACATTTTAGAATGCACGCATACATACATGTGTTCTGAACC